TTTCCAACTGGGGCTGCCCCTGGGGCTTTCGGTGGAGCTCCCTATGGGGCCACGATCCTCGTGAGGGGTGCGTCGAACTGGGGCGGGGCCGCCATGCAAACTTTCCCGCTGGAGCCTTCGGTGGAGCTCCCTATGGGGCCACGATCCTCGTGAAGGGCGCGCCGAACTCGGGCGTGGCCGCCATGCACACTTTTCCATTGGGCCTTCGGTGGAGCTCCCTATGGGGCCACGATCCTCGTGAGGGGTGCGCGGAACTGGGGCGGGGCCGCCATGCGAACTTTCCCACTGGAGCCTTCGGTGGAGCTCTCTATGGGGCTACGGTCCTCGTGAGGGGTGCGCCGAATTTGGGCGGGGCCGCCATGCGAACTTTGCCACTGAGGCTTTAGATGGAGGTCCCTATGGGGCCACGAAGCGTGTGCAGGCTGTGCTGAAATGGGGCGGGGCCGCCATGCGAACTTTCCCATTGGGGCCTTAGGTGGAGCTCCCTATGGGGCCACGAAACATGTGAGGGGTGTGCCGAAATGGGTGCGGTGCAGGGGAGGAGGGAGGAGGAGGAGGAGGAGGAGGAGGAGGAGGAGGAGGAGGAGGAGGAGGAGGAGGAGGTCGAGGAGGAGGAGGTCGAGGAGGACGAGGACGAGGACGAGGACGAGGAGGAGGAGGAGGAGGAGGAGGAGGAGGAAGAGGAGGAGAGGAGGTGAAGGATGAGGAGGAGGAGGAGGAAGAGGAGGAGGAGGAGGAGGAGGAGAGGTGGGACGCGGGGCGCTGTCTCTTTAAAACGAGGGCCCAACACCACAGGATGGTTGGGAATAAAAGCACCGCTCGGACACGCGGGCCCCCGCTATGCCCCCCACCTTGATTCTCAGATGCTCCATCCCCTCCAATTATTTTCCCTCACGCTTCTTGCCCCCCCCCTCTCTCTTCTTTCTCCTCCCTCTCCGACCCTTTACCGCATCCCTCATGCCCGCCCCCATTTCCAGCACTCTGTCCCTTTCTTGCGTCCTTGCCCCTGTCGCCGTCTTCTGCCTATTTGTTCACGCCCCGCGTTGAATGTGAGGGCGATCGGATCGATTCGAGATCTCCATACTGGCGTGGGCGTCCCTGTGCAGGAAGACCCGATTCTCATGTACGTGTGGCTGGTTTAGCGCCTTCTTCTACTCACCAGGCCAGGTACCAGGCCAGGTAATACCAGTATTGTGCCCCAGTCTGGACGTTCCGCGTATCCAGGTGCCTGCGACAAGTTCCGCCACGTGCCAGCTCAGCCCGTTGGGTGGCAACGCTTCGAGCAAGGAAGGCCGTCACATGTGACACTTGTCGTCTTCACTTCTTGGGGAGCTCTCATAGAGCTCATTTGGGCCGTCTTGGGGCTGTCCTGGGCGCCTGTGGGGCAGTCGAACTCGCTCGGTCGATGCCCAGTCGCCGCTTGGGACCCCCGAGCTGGTCCCAGATGCCTCAACTCGATCGGGTGGGAACTCGGTCGGGGTGAACACTCGCTCGAATTAAGATCCGTTCGCCCAGAAACTCTTTCCGCCCAGAGCCGGTTCGCCCGGAAGCCCGTTCGCCCGGAAACCCGTTCGCCCGGAAACCCGTTCGCCCGAAGGCCCAGAAGGGCCGCCGCAATTGACGGGCGGGACGGGCGGGCGGACCTTCACGGGCGGGACGGGTCGGGCGGGCGGGACAGTGAAGTATATACACAATCGAGTTGGCACGTGTGTGTGTGTGTGTGCACGTGTTTGTACCCTGACGGGCGGGTCGGGTCGGGCGGGCGGACTCTAACGGTCGGGTCGACTCGCGTGTGCCTCAACGCGCGGGTCGGGTCGGATGAGCGAAGCCTAACGGGCGGGTCGGATCGGGTCGGGCGGGCGGGCCCTTCCAGGCGGGACGGGTCGGGCGGGCGGGACATTCAAGCATAGTGTACAATCAGGTTGGCACGTGTCTTCCTTAACGTGCGGGACGGGTCGGGCGGGCGGACCGTAACGGGCGGGTTGGTTCGGGTCGGACGGGCGGACCCTAAAGGTCGGACCGGGTCGGGCGGGCGGGATGTTAAAGTATGGTGCGCAATCGAATTGGTACACGCGTGAATCGACGCGCGGGTCGGGTCGGACTTGCGGAACCTAACGGGCGCGTCGGGTCGGGTCAGGCGAGCGGGCTCTTCCAGGCGGGACGGGTCGGGCGGGCGGGACATTCAAGTATAGTGCGCAATCGAGTTGGCACGCGTGTACCCTACCGGGCAGGTCGGGTCGGGCGGGCGGGTCGGATCGGGTCGGGCGGGCGGACCATAACGGGCGGGTCGGGTCGAGCGGGCGGGAGATTATGCACAATCGAGTTGGCACGCGTGCCCCCTAACGGGCGGGCGGTTCCTAACGGGCGGGTCGGATCGGGCCGGCTGGGCGGACCCTAACGGGCTGGATTGGTCGGGTGGGAGAGACATTAAAGCATCGTGCGCAATCGAGTTGGCACGCGTGTGCCCTACCGGGGGGGTCGGGTCGGACGGGCGGACCCTAACGGGCGGGTCGGATCGGGTCGGGTGGGCGGAGTTTAACGGGCGAAACGGGTCGGGCGGGCGGGACATTCAAGTATAGTATACAATTGAGTTGTTACGTGTGTACCCTAACGGGCGGGTCGGGTCGGGCGGGCGGGCCAGCAGGCGGGTCGGGTCGGGCGGGCGGGGCATTAAAGTATGGTGCGCAATCGAATTGGCACGCGTGTCCCCTAACGGGCGGACCGGGTCGGTCGTGCGGACCTTGACGGGTTGATCGGGTCGGGTCGGGCGGGCGGGGCTTAACGGGCGGGACGGATGTTGTTGAGGAAGATTGCACTTTTAAGTAACATTTTGGGGCGGGGATTGTGGAGTATTGGATGATGTGTTGGAGACGGAGGCTGTGGAGTATTGGGTGCTGCGGTGGAGACGGAAACTGTGGAATGTTGTGTTGGAGACGGAGGGTGTTGAGGAGGATTGTGTTTTCTAGTTAGGGACTGGAGTATTGGGGGCTGCGTTGGAGACGGACGCTGTGGAGTGGTGGGTGCTGCGTTGGAGACGGAGGCTGTTGAGAAGGATTGTACTTTTTAGTTGCACCTGGAGCGGGGGCTGCGGAGTATTGGGTGCCGCGTTGGAGACGGAGGCTGTGGAGTATTGGGTGTTGTGTTGGAGACGGAGGCTGTGGAGCATTGGGTGCTGTGTTGGAGACGGAGGCTGTTGAGGAGGATGGTACTTTTTGGTTCAAGTTGGGTGGGGGCTGTGTGGTATTGGGTGCCGCGATGGGGACGGAGGCTGTGGAGTATTTGTGCAGGAGACGGAGGTTATGGAGTAGATGGGTGTGCTCAAGTTACGCCAATGGAGTATTGAAGAGTGTGTTGGACAGGAAGGCTGCAAGGGATGCGGGAACGGGCCTCTGCCTGAGCGAGCCTCTGCCAGAACGGGCGTCTGCCAGAGCGGGCCTTTGCCAGAACGGGCCTCTGTTGGAGCAGGCCTCTGCCGGAACGGGCCTCTGCCAGAGCGGGCCTGTTTGAGCGAATTCAAATTCGCTCGAATTTGAATTCACCCGAACTTGATAAATTCGCTCGAATTTAAGCCACCTCGAATCAAATTTGCTCGGGTCTAACTTCCCTCGAATTTGAATTCGCTTAGGTCTAAATTCTCGGTGGTTCAAAAGTTGGGGTCCTGAGGGGTGTGGGATCCAAGCTTGGATCTACGTTGTTCAAGGCACCACGTCCTTAGGCCCCCATCTCTCCGGACCCCATCTTTGAACCACCGAAATTCGCTAGAATTTTAATTCGCTCGTTTTGAAGTTCACTCGAATTTGAATTCGCTTAAAGTTGAATTCGCTCGGGTTTAGATTCGCTGGGGTTTTCATTCGCTCAGTTGCAACGCGCTCGAACGGACATCCGCGCGGGGGGCAATTCGCTCAAGTACATTTGCGCAACCTGCGTAAAGCCAGGCGAGACGAAACCGAGCGAAACGAAACCTAACGACAACAAGCAGCGAGCGAAGCAAACGCGAACGAAAAAACATTCGAGCGAAAGGAAGGCGAGCGAAACAAAAACGAGCGAAAACAGCGTCGAGCGAAAACAATTCCGAGCGAAACGAAACCGAGCGAATAAAAGAGCGAGTGAAACGACAGCAAGCGACAAACCAACTAACGAAACAAAAGGCCACCCATCTTGGCCGTCTAGGGAGTTGTTTGGGACCGTACTAGTTGGGCCGTCTTGGGCCGTCGAGGGGCCCTTTGAGGCTGTGTTGGGTCCCTCCAAAGGCCCTCTTGGGGCAGCTTGGGGCTTCCTTTGGGCCCGTCCTGGGCAGTCCAGGGGCCTTCTTGGGCTATCTCGAGGCTGCCTTGAAGCATTACTGGGTCATTATTCAACTTCACTGTGCCGTCTTGGAGGCCTCTAGGGCCGTCCGAAGCTGCAGGAAGCCCAAAAAGGCGAAGGCGCCAATCTTAGAACACCGTAGGGAAGTATGTGGTTTGGGTTGTTTCGGTCCCTGCTCGGGGTCCTGATGTGGCCCTCTTGGGCCGTCTGGGTGTCCTCATGAGCCCTCTTGAGGCCATCTTGCGCCGCCTTGGGGCCATCTTGGGCCGTCTTGGAGGGACAATGGGCCATCTTGGCGGCTTTGGTGGCCTGCCTCGGCCGTCTTGAAAGCTCGGGAGCGCGGATCCATTGTTTTCTTGCGAGGGAGCGTGGCCTCGGGAGCGAGGATCTCTAGTTTGTTGCAAGAGAACGCTCTGCTAACTAACAGAGGGGGGGGCCTGTAGCAGACTACAGAAGCACTACCTGATTGCACTTGGCATTCTACCGCTGCTCAACGTGTCAGGGGGCACGGTGACACGAACAGCATTTTGTTTCTTCAGCTCGGAGTTGTACCCTCTTGCGCGCAGCGTCTGCGCACGCCTTACACATCGCGTCTCAATCTCAGTTCAAATGCTTCGGCACGACTTCGCGATGATATACTTGGCAGTGCGATTCGAGTCATCAGCGCGCAATTGTCTGCACAGATCTCCTCCCAGGCGTGCGCCAGGGCACCTACAAGCTGCTGCACGAGCTGGAGACTGCCGCTGCGGCAGATGGCTCCCCGGAGCACCTCGGGACAGCTTGAGGCTCTTGCACAGTATCTCTCAGGCTGGTTGGGCCGAATGGGCTCGATAACTGGGCTTGGGAGGGTGGGGCTTCGGAGCCGGAGAGCGATGGCAAAACTCCAAGTCCGCTCAAAATCTGCCCCCAGACCTTTCCTGGGGCTCACTTATCCGAGTTGCGTCCAGCAGTGGCGACGAGAGAACCTCCAGCCCCCCCCCGAAATCATTAGAAGCGAATGCGTCTTCGTCGAGGTCGTCGTCGACGGCGTCGGGCCGCCCTGACCTCTGCAGGGGAGACATGAGATTTGGGGAGACCTGACATCTGGGCCCCAGGTCGTCTGCCTGCCGAGCGCCAGGGGCGGGCTGTGCGTCACTCGAGCCACGTGACGCTCTCCCGCCCAGAGTTTTGGGGCACTCTGCTACCCTGGGATCCCTTCGCGTCGCGACCAAAAACGTAACAAGAGGTGTTGTTCCCCCCATCCCTTCTGGGATGGGCACTCGTTCGGAATAGAGTACTGCTCCCCCTCTCCGCCTCTCTTTCGGCCTCCTCGCTTCCCGCCCTCAATCTCTACACCTTTCGTCTCCTCATTACATCGTCGTTTCCTCCGCCTCCCTGTGTGCTGCCAGGTGAGCATTGTTGGCCACTTCGCTTCGCCCCTGGGGGCCAGCGTGCGACTGAGATCCAGATGAGACCTCGTTTCCTCGGTGCTGCCACCCGCGCAACCTGTCGCCACGGTCGTGAGCCCGTGGGGGGTCGAGCGCAGGGTAACTACCCAGACCAGGATGAGACTTCGTTTCCCTCGGTGTTGCCACCTGCCGCCATTTTCGTGAGCCTGTGGGGGGATCCAGCGGAGCTGGGTGCTACCAACATCAGAATGACAAACAGCTTCCTGAGTTAGGTTTCTGGAAGGTTATTGGCGGAAGCCCTTGGGAGGTTTTGGGAGGAAACCTTCCAGACATTTTTCTGAGGAAGATGTTTGCCATGCTTTTGGAGAAAGCCCTCCAACAATTCCTCGAGAGGAAGGTTTCTGGAATGTTTTTGGAGGAAACCTTTTCATAACCTTCATGAACAAGGTGTTTGCAAGGTTGTTGGAAGGTTTGCTTATAAGCCGTGTGGGAGGTTTCTAGAAGGTTTGTTTGGTAGGTTGTTTTGGACGGTCTTTGGAATGTGCGTTGGATTGTTGTTAGAAGGTTTCGTCGAAGGTTTTCTTCCTGTTAAACGTATTAGGTGGTTTGGCTATGCTCAGGGGATCGGACGCTTTTTGTGAGGTTGTTGGACGGTGTTGGGAACCATCTTCCAACAGCCTATCTCGCCTCCCTGGGCCCAGGAAAACCTTCTAAGAACCTTCCAAGAACATTCCAGACGAAGAATCCAGGAGGGGTTCCGCGAATTGCCGCACCAGTCTCTCGGATACTCAGGGTTTTGTGCTTGGGACCGTTCATCCCCGTCGCCCTCGTTTTGTTCCTCTTTTACCTCCCCCTCTCGTCGTCGTCCGCGTGTTCGCATTATGCCGATGTGTTGGCCTTTGGGAGGGAGGGCGGTCGCGTGTACTTGCATTTCCATACCCCCACCAGGGCCACCAGGATCCTATGAGGACCCGAGCAGAACGATGCCAAGGCGTTACCAGGACATCTTTTTAAATCTACTGGGAATCCTGCAGGGTGGCCCACGGCGTCTGCCAGGACCTCCCCAGGGACTACCACAAGCCCCGGCATGCCCTTGAGTGCGCGAAGACAATATCCCGGTTCTTCGGTGGTCAAGCCAAGCCGAAGTAATGGAACACGTTCCTTTTCAAGGCGCCTGAGATGAAGGAATGCGGCTGGCATGGTCCTCGGAGGTTCCTGTCAGGATCTTGGCAGATTCCAGGCAGGAGACTGACTGGTAGGGCTCTGGTTATGCAACTCCTACTGGTCCGTGGTATGGTCCTGTCGGTTTTTTCACCGTAGGATCTACGCAGTTTTGTTGGGGTCGTGGTAAGACGCGTCGTGGTATGATCCTGGTGGTGTCGGTGCACAGCCAGAAGCGTCCCAGAAGGTCCAGGTAGGGTCCTGGCGAGGTTCTGGTAGGGTCTGGTAGGGTCCCGCCAACTTCTTTGTATTGTGGCAGGGTCCTGGCGGGGTGGTCCCAGTCAGTGTCCTGATGCGGTTGTGCGGTGTCCTGGTGTGGTGCGGTCCTGACAACGTCCTGGCAGGGTCATAGCGGTGTCCTGGTGGGTTATTTGTGATACCCTCGCAGGATCCTGGCATGGCCCTGCCCGAATGTTGATATCATCGTGGGTCCTGAGAGAATGTCTTGGGCCATCTCTTGGCCCTTTCAGGTCCGTCTTGATACGTGTTGGGCGGCGAGGCGGCCCAGTGCCTCTCGGGGGTTGGCTTCAGGGAAGGGGGGTATCGTCAACCAGCCGCCGCATCCCATCAGCCCTTCTCTCTTCTGTTTGCAGTCTTCACCAGATGTTTGTTCACTCGGATGTTGCAGAACATGCTAGGACTTCTGCCAACAACTGAAGTTTGGGAAGTTGCTATTTCATTTTGAGTGCGCGAATCGTCGTCGCAGGCCACGGCCATGGCCCGCGGCGACAACGACGAAGACCAGTGAAACCTCTTTGTGCTCGTCGCTGACCTGTCCTACATGATCCAGCCGTTTCCAGCGTTCCTTCTTGCAGGCTTTGGTTCGACGGCAGTCCGCTTCGGCGCGGCGGTGCTCGGCAGAATTGGTAGGGCCCATCGCTCGCCCGCGGAGTTCCACGGCCAGTTGATGGTGGACCGGGGGATCGGGCTCAGCCGCGTCTCGGCCAAGGAGTTGGTCGCCAGCGCTGTCGGATTCGCGCTCCTGAGGAAAAGGTCCCCCTCCGCGGCCCCCGCGACAGGCAGCGAAGCCAGCCCCAGAAGGCCCCAGGGCAGCTGTCACCCCTCTGCTCTCTCCCGGCTCCGGCTGGCGGCCTTCCCCCAACCCCACCCCATCTCCTTCGCTTCCTTCCTCTTTGTCCGCCTGCTCCGTCGCCGCTCCTCCCATCATCCTTGCTCTAGCTCCCTTCGTGCGCACTACCCCCTCCTCTCATCCTTCTCCGCCTCTCTCTCCTCCTCCCTTTTCGTGGACCCTTTCTGTCCATCTGCTCGTTTTGCTCCTCCCTTCTCAGTCCTCCGTCATTCTGGGCTGCTCCCTCGTCTTTCGCCTCCCCCATCGTTCTCACCACGAATCCTGTGCACGTGTCGGGGCATGGGCGCCCACGAGGTCCAGGGGGCCGAAATCCGCTCGCAGGGTATATCTGGGTGTCACCCCCCGCCTTTTGCTGATCTTTCATTTGTGCATACACGCGTGTGTGTGTGTGTGTGTATATGTGTGTGTGTGTGTGTGTGTGTGTCTGTGGGGGGATGTGCACGTGCATGTGTACGTGTACGCGAAGTGTGCGACACATAGAGATGCGTCTGAGAAGGACTTCCGCACGCGCGATTTGATGTCGTGTTCGACACGTGTGGTTTGATTCCTGGGGAAATGTGACGGACATGTTCCGTCGTGGTTGTCTTCCTTTCTTTTCGCCGGGGCCCGCCCTCTGGGGCGCCACAAACTTTTCACACATTCTAGGACATTGGCACCAGCGGCGGGCATGTGTGTGTGTGTTTCTTCCCCGCCCCGGGGCGCCCCTCGCTTCTCCTGGATACTTGGGTTTCCCAGGTTCCGCTGAGTGTTTCTCGGCGTCGATCGCCGCCTCGGCTGGCTCCTCCCTGGGGTTCAGCCTTGGCACCCGCGGCCGGCTGCTCTCCTCGGGCGGTGTCCGCTCTCTTGGCGCCTGCGCCTCTCCAGGCCTCTCGGCCTCTGTTCGAAGCGACCCGACGCGCTCTGCCGGCCTCTTGGCCGCCGCTCCCGGTCTGCCGATCGGGCTTCGCCCCTGTGGCCTCCCCCCCTCGCCCGCCTCGCCCCGTCCATCTGCCCGGCCCGCTGGACCTCCAGCGCGCCGCTGCTTCTCCAGCCCGGCCGCCGTCTCTGGCTCTGTGCCGAGGCTCCCTGCCTAGCTCTGGCGTGGCCCAGGCTGCGTCGCCGCGCGCCGCCCCCTTATACGCCTACCTCCCTGGCGCGGCGTCGCCTTGCTCGGCCCCCGCCCGCCCGCTGCGCCGCCGACCCCGCGGCCGCTGCCCGCTGCCCGCCCGCCGCCCCCAGCCACCGCCCCGTGAGGAGCTGGCCGTCTCGCCTTTTTTTGTTTTTCTCCTCGACACTGCGTGCCCCGCGAGGGGTTTGTTTGTGTGTGTGGGTGTGTTGCCACGGGGCCCCCGATGCGACTGCACAACCAAGTCGTGACGCTTCCCGTGCCCCCTCCAGCCCATCCAGGAACGATGCTCAGGGCAGCTGTCCATCTCGTGTGAGCGCCGCATCATGTGGGGAGCTCAGGAGGTCTCCATGGGCCAGAGTCTTCTAGGATGCCTGTGGGAGTCTCTTGGGATGTCCCTCGGGGTCTCTTAGAGGCCTCTTGGGACCTCCGGGGGCATCCTGGCGTCTCTTCGGGGCCTCTTGGGTCGCCTCGGGGGCCTTGGAGGTCACTTTAGGTAGAAGGCTTGGGGGCTGCTTGGTCTTCAGAGCCTTTGGGTGCGTCTTGGGTGCCTCTTGGATACCTCTTGGGGCCTATTGGGGGACGCCTGGGGGCCGCTTTGTGGCTTCTTGGCGGCCTCTTGGGGCCTCTTGGGGCACTCTAGGAGCTCTCTCGGGAGCGGTTCGGCCGTCCTGGGGCCACGTTGGAGGCGATCTATCAACGAAGGGGGGGTCCCCAATGTGAGCCCACAGCATACATGTCTCCCAAATTTGAAGAACATCCGCGATGCGTGCCTTCTCGCTGATGCTGTCTTGGGCCCGCTGAAACCTCGCCGCCGCCCCCCCGTCCAGACCTGGAGGTAGGTTGTAGGGGGAGGGGTCGAGTCCCAGCGGGAACGCCGCAAGCTGTCTCGCTTACTCCCACCTGCCCTCCCAACGCGTAAGTAGCACCCGAGTCTCAGCATGTTCAGCGGTCGCAATTGTTAAACATTGCGGGCCAGTGCTGGCGCCAGCCGACCGCGAGGTGCGCAGCACATGCCAGGTGCGCCACGCCCACCAGGTGTGCCACATTGGGCACTCTGTCGACCCTCCACCATTCGCGTCAAAAAGCCGAGACATCGTGCAGGCGGGTTCGGCCAGCATTGTTTAGTCTGTGAGTGCAACCGCTACAACGTTGCATTTGTTGTTTGACAGGGGACGGTGCCCCCCCCATTCCTGGCAAAGTGCGCTTTACATGTTTTTGGAAGGGGTTGTGGGCCTGCACGGAACAGGCAACATGCTTGCCGCCCCCCCCCCGCCGCTCCTGTTCAAAGCCGATGCAAACTGATCGCGGGGCGCCCGCAAATGATCCAGATGTTGGTGTAAAGTGCATTCTTGCATGCTTCTCCCAACCATCCTGTGGTGGTTGGTCTTCGCTTGGAGGGGACGGTCCCCGCTTTCCTCCTTCCTTCCTCCTCCCGCCCTCCTCCCTCCTCCCGTCCCCCCCCCTCACTTTGGCACACCCCTCACACGCTTCGCGGCCCCACAGGGATTCCCACCGAAGGCCCAAACGCCAGCGTTCATGCGCCCACCGCACCCATCTTGGCACGCCCCTCACACGTTTCGCGGCCTCACAGGGAGCCCCACCGAAGGCCCAAATGCCAGCGTTCGCACGCGCTCACCGCACCCATTTGGGCACACCCCTCACACGCTTCGTGGCCCCATAGGGAGCTCCACCGAAGGCCCAAACGCCAGCGTTCGCATGCGCCCACCGCACCCATTTTGGCACACCCCTCACTCGCTTCGCGGCCCCGCAGGGAGCCCCCCCGAAGGCCCAAACGCCAGCGCTCGCATGCGCCCGCCGCACCCATTTTGGTACACCCCTCACACGCTTCGCGGCCCCACAGGGACCCCACCGAAGGCCCAAACGCCAGCGTTCGAATGCGCCCACCACACCCATTTTGGCACGCCCCTCACACGCTTCGCTGCCGCGCAGGGAACCCCACCGAAGGCCCAAATGCCAGCGTTCGCACGCGCTCACCGCACCCATTTGGGCACACCCCTCACACGCTTCGTGGCCCCATAGGGAGCTCCACCGAAGGCCTAAATGCCAGCGTTCGCACGCGCCCACCGCACCCATTTTGGCACGCCCCTCACACGCTTCGCGGCCCCGTAGGGAGCCCCACCGAAGGGCGAAATGCCAGCGTTCGCATGCGCCCACCGCACCCATTTTGGTACGCCCCTCACACGCTTCGTGGCCCCACAGGGAGCCCCACCGAAGGCCCAAACGCCAGCGTTCGCATGCGCCCACCGCACCCATTTTGGCACGCCCCTCGCACGTTTCGTGGCCTCATAGGGAGCCCCACCGAATGCGGTGTATTCAGCGGCTGTGCCCACAACTGCATATGGTTGGGGTCTTCGCCAGGCCAATTTTGCAGGGGATAGTGGAAGGGGCGTTGACGTTGCACACAGCAGGGATTATGTCAGCACCCCCACCTCCCTGCTCACATACTAAAAGAAATTGATTTCGGGGCGTCCGCGCATGATCTGGATGCTGGTGCAATCTGCACTTCGTATTGGTTTTTGCAAGGGATGGGATGGGGGCGTTGGCATTGGCCCGGGTTTGTCGCCAGTCAGGCGGGAGAAGGAGGTGTACACTAACAAGGAGCAGTGATCAACCCCTCCCCAGAGGGGGTGAAGCGTGAGCGGAAAACGCCCTGAATCACCTACGCCCTAGATGGATGGTGGGATTTGTTTATGTGTGTGTGTGAGTGTTTGTGTGTACGCGCGTGTGTGTGTGTGTGTGTGTGTGTGTCTGTGTGTGTGCGTGTGTGCGTGTGTGTGTGTGTGTGTGTGTGTGTGTGTGTGTGTGTGTGTGTGTGTGTGTGTGTGTGTGAAGTCTCTAGCTGGACGCCGCGAGCCGGGTGGATGAGCGGGGCGATTGCAAGAAGAGTGAGGCACCAGCCATGGGATCCAAAATTTCTGCAAGGACATGGGTGCGGATGTTGGCTGGACTTCCGCCGCCATTAGGAAGCTCCCTTTGGGGCCGCGAATCGCGTGAGGGGCGTCTGCATGAGGCCTCCAGTGGCTTCCTGTAGGGCCCCGAAAAGTGTGAGGGGCGTGCCAAGATGGGCGGGAGGACCGCACGCAATACCTTGCCACTGAGGCCTTCGGTGGAACTCCCTGTGGGGGCCACGAAACGTGTGAGGGGTGTGCCGACATTCAGCAGGCCGATGGCAGATGAAGGAAGAGAGGGAATAGGAGAGGGAGACGCGCGCGCGTTGCTGGTTCAAAACGAGGGCCCAACTCACACAGGATGGCTGGGACAACGGAAGTCTTTAGAGGCCAGGGGAGCTTGGGGAGGAAGCGACAGCCTCTGTCGGCACATGGGGCGGCCCTCCTGCCCCCTCCATATGCGTCCTTTGCAAGGGCGGGCGGGAGATCGAGTAAGGCCGGCGGTTCCAGAGGGGAAGGTGCACGGCCTCTGCTGCCACCCAGCGCTCCCTCTGGTCGCTGTGCGCGGGCCTCAGAGGACCCTGGCCCGCCAATCTGTGCTCGATCACGCAAAAGGGGGAGGAGGAGGAGGAGGAGGAGGAGGAGGAGGAGGAGGAGGAGGAGGAGGAGGGGGAGGAGGAGGAGGAGGAGGCGGAGGAGGAGGAGGAGGAGGAGGAGGAGGAGAGGAGGAGGAGGAGGAGGAGGAGGGGGAGGGGGGAGGGGGAGGGGGAGGGGGGAGGGGGAGGGAGGGGGGGGAGGAGGTGGATAGAGGAGGGGAGGAGGATGAGGAGGAGGAGGAGGAGGAGGAGGAGGGGAGGAGGAGGAGGAGGAGGAGGAGGAGGAGGAGGAGGAGGAGGAGGAGGAGGAGGAGGAGAAGGCTCCTCGCCCGTCCTCCTGGCTGG